ACACGGTTAGAAAGCTTTAAGCAGGTTTGAGTTGGAATTCAGTCCTTAATATTTGCGTTCGCACACATGCAGAAATAATTTCTACACAATATCTTTGGTGACCAGAATACTCTCAGAAATTTAGATCAGACATGTCATTGCCCTGCTTAAAAATCTCACAATAGGCCTGACTCAGTGACTCAGCCTGTAATCCCAGCACTTTGGGAGGCTGAGGCGAGTGGATTGGCTGAGCCCGCGGGTTCAAGACCAGCCCAGGTAACTTGGTGAGACCTCGTCTCTGCAATAAAAAAATCAAAAAATTAACCAGCGTGGTAGTGTGCACCTGTAGTTCCGGCTACTTAGAAGGCTGAGGTGGAAGGATCACCAGAGCCTGACTGGTCAACACTGGGGTGACTGTGAGCAATGCCACTGCACTCCAGCCTGGGCGATAGAGTGAGACAACAACTCAACCCCAAAAAAATCTTACAATAGTTTCACCTTGGTCTAGACCAAGAAATAACATCCTTACAGTGTCCTGTGAGGCTTCACAGGATCTCTCTCTCTCCCTCCCCCCTCATCACACACACACACACACACACACACACACACACCCTTCCTCCTCTCCCTCTAGGTTCCTGTTGCTCATTTGCTCTATCTATATTGGCCACCTTCCTGCTTCTCATACAAAGCTTATGCCTGTTCTGGGTCATTGCACTTGCTGTCCCATGTGTGACAAATCCTCTGGCCCAGAACTTCACAAGGCTGATTCCTTCCTGTAAAGCAGGTCTCATCTCAGACGACCCTTCTGTGAGACCTTCCCTGCCTACTCACCCTGTTTCTCTCCTTTATTTACTTCACATTTCTTATGTCATAAATGGTCTTACTTATTTACTTGTTTATTATCTGTCTTCTGTTCTAGCATGAAGGAGAAATCTGGGATAACAATTAACATGCGCTTTGGGAAGACAACTAGGAAACAATAAGCATTTGAGAAAAGATTAAAATAAAATACATAAATCTATAGCACTGGGGTGATGGGGATTGATTGTGTCTGAATTTCCTTCATCTTTTTTTATTTTTCAAATTTTCTGTGATGTGTTTACACTGTTTGGTGATTAATTAAGACACAGATAGAAAAAAGTCATATGCTTTCCAGAATCCATTTATTTTCTGGTGTTTTTATAATTTCAGTAACCCCAGTCTTAATTTTCAGAAACTATAACAACAGGTTTTGCCAACAACCACCCTCGGAAAATCTCTTGGTGAAAAAAAAGAAGAAAGAAAAAAAGAACTGAAAAGGAACACTTGGTATGATTATAGTACTCCTACTCATTAAGGATAGAACTTGCATTGGATAATTTGATAAAGCTGCCAAAGCACAAAATATAACTGTGGTACTCATATCAACATATGCTCATATCGAGACATATCAAAGATCAGATAATAATATAATAAACACTCTTAGAATTACTTGGCCCAATGCCATAGCCAAATGCATGGTAAAAAGTGACCATTATTTATTACCTTAAGCCTAGTAGTTAATAAAGAATAAAAGATGTAGGGTCTATACATGCTGCAATTTTTATTATTAAAAGGTGATATTTTCATTTTTTAACTTAACACTCTATGACATAGTTTGAATATTTGTGTTCCTCTAAAATTCATATTGAAACTGAATCCCTAATGCAATGGTATTAAGAGGCAAGGCCTTTATAAGGTGATTAGGACATGAGGACTCCATTCTTATGGATGGAATTAGTGCCATTATACAAAATTTTGAGGGTGTGACTATGTCCCTTTTGTCCTTCTGCCATGTGAGGACACAATGTTCATTCCCTCCTGAGGATACAGCAAGGAACTATCTTAGAAGCAGGGAATGAAAGTTTACCAGACACTGACTCTGCCAGTGCTTTGATCTGAGACTTTTCAGCCTCCAGATCTGTGAGAAATAAACTTCCATTATTTGTAAGTTGCACAGTCTGTGGTATTTTGTTATAGCAGCAGGAATGGACTAAGATACTCCATAGAAGTTTCCCAAAGGCTAAGGTAATCACATCTGTTCGATTCCACAGTGACCTTCCTCTTCCCAGAAATCACTTTCTCTTCTTTCCAGGTCCTTTCCTAACCCTGTCATTCACATGGACTTTGGCCCCCCAGAGATCCCGGAATCAACTTCTCTGGCTTATTTGAGTTTCATCTGTTTTTCAAGCGCCTAGTCTCAACTTGATGAATAACTTCATTCGCCTTTTCCATAAATAGTTACTGAATGCCTGTGTGTAGTATATCCTGACCATAAATAAGGTATTCTTCCCTTCTTGAAACTTAAGTTTTACTGGAAGAACTAAGCAGAAACAAGTGAACAAACAAAATAAATATACTGTTTAAATATTTATTTGTTCTTTCTTTCACTTAGCCTTAACTTGAAACTCATGTTATTATTATTTTTTTTTTTTTTTTGAGTTGGAGTCTCACTCTGTCGCCCAGACTGGAGTGCAGTGGCCGCTCCCGGCCACCGCAGCCTCGACCTGCTGGGCTCAGGCGATCCTTCCACCTCAGCCTTCCGAGTAGCCAGAATTACAGGCATGTGCTACCACGTCCGGCTGATTTTTTGATTTATTGTAGAGATGAGGTCTCGCTGCCCAGGCGGGTCTCGAACCCGTGGACTCAGGCAATCCACTCACCTCAGCCTCCCAAAGGCGCAGGGTTATAGACTGAGCCACCAAGCCTGGCTTATTATTTTATATAGATGCTCTCCACAGTTATATTTTGTTGTTGACAGTTTTAACAAATGATCCATGAAATTTTTATCCTTAATGATCAGGAGCACTATAATGAACAAATTAAATACAAGTTCTAGGAAGGAAACAAATAGGATTTTCTGCTAGGATGGTCAGGGAAGCTCCCTCTGAAAGGTAAATTGAAATCTGAAGCATGAGGAGGGACAACCTGGAGCTTATTTGAGGCTTATACAACTGGCACATCATAAGCAAGGGATTAAGAGAGATGAAAAATATGAGTGTAAATGCAAGTAAACTATAAGTTCCAGGTTCAAAGATGAGTTGGAAGGTCAGATCAGAGGTTGGCTTTTATTTAAAGTATAATTTGAAACAACTGAAAACTTTTCATCTGAAAAATGACAAATATAATTTACTTTTATTTTTGTTTGACTTTTCCCCTTTACTTATCAGTCTGCAAAATAATGAGTGGGTTCCTTAGGATCCTTTCCAAATAAATAATGAGTTTGTCAATATCCACAACAAAACTGGGTGAGATTTTTATTGAGATTGCAATGAGTCTATATGCCAAGTTGGGAAGGACTGATATTGTGACAATATTGAGTCTTCCTATCCATAAACATGGAATGCCTCTTCATTTATTTATACCTTTGTTTTCTTTCATCAAAGTTTTGTAGTTGTCCTTATCCTGTAAACTTGTTATAATCACTAATAAGTTCCAACCTTGCTATAATCATGAGGTTTTAAAATGATTTTTTGGAATATTTTTTCACAGACAATTATTTAATATCCTTTAAAGGGTTTGTTAAAATACATCATTATTAATTCATGGATTTAAACAAGTTGATCTGCTTCGATCTCTTATCATTATTATTTTATCAATTTTTAAATTATCTTTTATTAAACCAGCAGGAGTCTCTTTAAGTTGCCTCCTGAGTCCTTTTGACATAACCTCAATGGTCTTAGATTACTTCACTGCTATCTGATAAGACAAGATATTCTAGCTAGTATTTTATAACTTTTGCCCCCAGACCTTTAATCAGCTTATTCTCCAAGTAGTCCCTGATTTTTTTATTGGAAAATAATATTTAGAAGTCATCATTATGGGTGGTATATTAAAATCATCTTTGCTTTTATATGGAGAATGGAATACAAGAGAGGTGAGTGGAATTGGAGAAACAGGCTAGGTAGCAGTGTGGTAGTCCTGTTGAGAGACAATGGCCATCTGGTCTGAGTTATTGACAAAGGAATTGGAGTGAAGTGGGTTGATTTGAAATATATTTTCATGTCATCGTCAATGAATTTGCAGTTGGTTAGATGTGGAGAATGAAAGAAAAGAAGGACTTGAGGACAACTTTCAAGTTTGAGGGGAAGACGGGGAATATCATTATCAGAATAATGAATATTCTGTGACGGGTTTGAAGTAGGATATTAAATCTCGATTTCAAAATCCTGATGCCTTCACTTTATTTTAAACATGTTGCATAAATAATGATTCCAAAAATCCTACATACTCAGTAACTGTTTACATTACTTTGTATACCCTTCCAGTCCTTGTTGACTGAATCTACAATTTAACAGTTGCAAGCAATATGCTCAAGCAGTTTAATGGTCTGCATTTTTCCATGTAGATAATTTTAAACATCACCTTAGAAACTATTCAGCATACAATAAAAATATTCAACCTGCAGTAATTTATTTAGCGATTATTTTGAATTGCTTCCAATTTTTAATTACTCTGTCTCAACTAAGACTCAGTCACAAGAAACAAATAGTGATTCAAGTTACTTTCAGTTGAAAAAGGTGATTTATTATAAATATAGAAGTCTACGTCATGGTGTCAAAGAGTAGAACAGCAACTAGGTATCTGGAAGGGTCCAGAAAGTTATCAGTTCTTTCTTCATGTCTTATTTGTTTCTCTTGGTGAATCTGCTTCATTCTTCTCTCCCTTACCCTGATTGCCTCTCCTTGAAGTGGAACAGGGTTACCCCATAGCTTGAGATTATTTTATCATCCTGCCCACATGCAGAGACTAACTTGCAATTCTCTCCCTTAGTTCCACGTTTCAGCTTTCATTAGACCTATTTCTAGTGAAGTTGGAGATCAGGAGGTGGGATTATTCAATACAGTCATGGCTGCCAGGGGCTCACTCTGTTGATGAGAGGTGGGAGGTGTTCGAGTGAAGAGACGATGGCTCACAGGCTGGGCTGATCCTTAAAAATGTCACTTTATTTTGAATAATGCTACTATAATGTAGAAAGTACTTTTTCTTTTCTTTGTCCTCAGAGCATGATCATCAAAGTGGAATTAATGGGTCTCAGAGTTGGAACAGTTTCACAACTTATTCCTTATGCTGGCTGGGCCATGCTGACGACATCAGAGGAAATAAGAGTGTTGGGAAATACAGGTCTGGCAACTCTCAAGAAATGCTTCCTTATCTCCACGATATGCTTCTTAAGTCATTGCCTCTTCCACCCTCAGTGAGTACTAGAATGAATATGCTCTCGTCACTTCTTTTTTTTTTCCTTCAGTAATATTTATTGAACATGGGGAACAAGAGGACAATCCAATCCAATGATCATGTGATAACATAATATTCTTCTTTTGTTTTCTGCATCAGGGTCTCACTCTGTCATCCAGGCTGGAGAGCAGTGGCAGATCACAACTCACCACATCCTCAGTCTCTTGGATTCAGGCAGTCCTTCTGCCTCAGTTTTCCAAATAGCTGGGACTGTAGGTGCATGCCACTACACCTGGTTAATTTTTTTATTTTTTGTAGAGATGAGGTCTTTGCTATGTTGCCCAGGCTGGTCTTGAACTCTTGGGCTCAAGTAATCCTCCTGCTGTGGCCTCCCAAAGTAGTGGGATTACAAGCATGAGCCACTGCACCCTGCTCACATTCTTAAAGGGAATTATAAAGTTGCAAATTAATTTCTTCTCAGAAATAAATACCACATACCTTCTCATCTTTCTTACTGGTGCCATTTTTCAACCCTTTTAAACGCTTTTCTAGCCTTTGCCATCCTCTTTCTAATTTGCCCCAGACTGATCATCTGAACACTTCTCCTTCAGAATACAATACTAAGAAATACGCAAGCAGCATGAACTATCACTTAATCAGAGTAAATAACTTTCAAGGATATTGATTACCTAAGTACTTTATATTTTCCACGAAATTACATTGTTCTTATTCAGCCAAGTCTGGAATTTTAATCTACCTTTGGATTCCTTAATTCATGAATTTGAGAATTGGACAGGAGTCAGTTCCAAGACCACAGGAAGCGTGTGTGTGTGGGGGGCGGAGAGTAGAGAGAATCAGAACTAAGGATGCCCTAGATCAATGCCATCCAGAATGACTAAGGTTATTAGACTGTGAACGAGGCCACACGGAGGCGGAGGGGGAGTGAGGTATTAGCCAATAGAAAAGACAGGAGGCATCTAGCTGACCTGGAAGAAATGACAAAGCGTGGCCTCTGAAGAGGCAAACTAGTTATTGGAACTAAGGGTCCTGACTGGGCAAGGAGGCAAAGGCAGGCATAGAGTCCCAGAGTCCAAATGGGAGTACAAGGAGTGATGAAAAACATGGTCCAGCCAAGGGTCTAGAAGGATAAGCAGAGCTGTTGCATCCCATATACAAGGACGTATTTGACATATGTTTCCAATATATTACAATGCCAAAAAATTTTTGCCTTTTTTACACCCTATTGTAATGTTCCCATGTCGTTTTCTTTAAAATTGTGCAAGTCACAAAGGCAATGTCAGAGCATGACTTTTGGTTCTAAGTCTCAGCCTCTGACTTGTTTCTAAATTCAAGTAATCTCTATGGCCATACCACCTGAATGCACCTGATCTCATCTAAGTGCAAGCAATGAGGGGTAGCACAGACTGGCAGAGGTGTTCTTGTCCATAGCAAGGTGGGACTCTGCTGGTGCCATTGTCTGGGGCTGCATTGTCCCCTGGAGGGTTCCACAGTTTCTAAAAGAGTTTCTCCACAGTTACAATGGAGATATAAGTCCTTTCCTTATATCATCCATTGTTTTACACGCCTAATTTTGAGGGTACAGAGGGAACGGCAGCTGGTTTCTGAGTTTGCAGGGAAAAGTGCTAAGAGCAAATAAGTAGTTGGGAAATTGTCTTGACATTTATGGAATGAACGAGGCATTATTGTGTAATAGAGGGGCTTATGACTGTTCTGGGAACATTCTTCCTGTGTGTTAGAGATGGTTGGCCATTTGTTTTAAAGAATTCTAAAGAATAGCAAAAACCACTCTAGCAGTTTTAGGAAAATGACTGTGAGCAAAAATTAGAGAAGAGAATGGGAAGGGGGACTGTATGGGGTCATTAAGCAGCTGTCTGTTAAGGAACATTTAATTTAAAATAAGATAAACATCTATTGTGCCATAAAACAAATATTTTTGCAACACTCCATTCTCACCTTCTTACCTTGCTGTTTTTAGACTGTGTTCGAATGCAAGATTGAGAAATGATGTGGAGCTCAGATAGAATATGATTTGATCCCATTTGTTAGTATTGAGGGAAGTGTTAAGCATGTGTTTTCAATACATTCTAATTCCAAAAAATGGCCTTTTTTTCTCCACTCTATTGTAGTTTCCTCCATGTTGCTCTATTTAAAATTGGACAATTCATAAAAGATTAGGGCCTGGCCAGGATCTGTGGCTCAGCCTGTAATCCCAGCACTTTGGAAGGCCGAGGCGAGTGGATTGCCTGAGCCCGCGGGTTCGAGACCAGCCCGGGAAGCTTGGCGAGGCTTCGTCTCTATAATAGATCGAAAATTAGTCGAGTGTGGGAGCATGCGCCTGTAGTACCAACTACTTGGAAGGCTGAGACAGAAGGATCACTGGAGCCCAGCAGGTTGACGCTGGGGTGGCTGTGAGCTTGTGTGCCACTGCACTCCAGCTTGGGCAAATGAGTGAGACTCCAACTCAAAAAAAAAAAAAAATTAGGGCTTGCTCCAGTGAATATGGCCAAGTTTCTCATTTGATATAGAATTGCTTGTGCTTCTGTCTTTGTCAGCGACCAATCCCCTCTGAGTACTTAATTCTTAATAAATATCAAGTGATATATTTGCCTTCATGTTCTTGCTTAGAAATTACATGTTCGGGTATACTCTGAAATTTCGTACCTTTTTGGCCAGTGCACTTTTTTGTAATAATGAATCAAAATAGATTTAGAGTTAAATGCTTTCTTGAAATCAAAGAAGAGAGAAAGGAATTCTAGGATCTTGAAAGCACTAGGGAAATGTGACTCCGCAATGAAAATGTGTCAAAGGAAATCTCCAGTACAAACTGAGGAATGTTCTTCTTACCATAAACTCCAGAAGTAGAAGAGGAATTTTTTTTTTTTTTTAAAAAAGAATATCTCAAGCAAAATATTATTAACAGCTGTAACAATTATTTCAATTATCCCAAGTTATGCATGGTAACTTGAATCCATTAAAATGAATGAGTTGGACTCTGATTTGACTAGATGGAACTATAATTTTTCAAAGCAATGAACTCCAACTTGTATTCAGTAGAATTTTTTTTTTTTTTTTACCATGTTACTGACCTAGTTTCAGACATGGACTCACAAACCCAGGTCCCTAGGAGAGTAGGAAGAAAAGTTACCCGCTTATATTCTGCAATTTATTACACTAATTTATGGTCCTTCAAGTCTGGGCAGGGGATGGGCTGTTCTTGTTTTATAGAAGAACCTTTTTGTCCTTTGTTGGGGACGTTTCCAGCAATTTAACAATTGACTCTAATAGACTCTTATGAGTAAAACTAATGAAAACATGAAGAAATGAACTCTAGAGACCAAACATACAGTAGCTTATTGTTCACTCTCTGGAGAATAGAAATACCTTCTCTAACAAGGTACAATGGTACAAACAGGAACTAACACTCAGGTTTCAATGCACAAGGCACTCAGGGTCAGGAGGAGGCCAATATTGCTGACCTTAATCAGGTCAGCACTGAACAAACTCAAGTAACAGTATAAGCAAAAAGGTTAAATGTATGTCAAATTTTGGATGTGCTCATATAATTATTAAAATTGTTTTAAGAGAGAAACAAATGATCAACTCTAGCCCTATGTGTTCTGACCCATCTCAGTGATTTTTTTGAAGGGACTACATATAATAAGCTGAGCTTTCTCTCTCACTAAGGCCAACCCTCATTTTGCCTACTCTCTTGGGACTTAGGAAGTTTATGAGAAATATGAAAAGGAAGCCTTGGTACAGCTGAAATGATGATGATGATGATTTTGATCAGAGTCTCACTCTGTCATCCAAGCTGGAGTTCAGTGGCCCGATCACGGCCCCTGTGGTCTTGACTGGCTGGGCTCAGGCGATCCTTTAGCCTCAGCCTTCCAAGTAGCCAGAAATACAGGCATGGGCCACCACACCCAGCTAATTTTTGATTTATTGTAGAGACAAGGTCTGGCCAAGTTGCCCAGGCTGGTCTCAAACCCCTGGGCTCAGGCAATCCTCTCACTTCTGTCTTCCACAGGTGTGAGCTACCACACCTGGTTTGATATTCTGAGATAGTTTTTATTACCAAGTTCTTCAGTACACCAAGCCTTTTATGGAGCTGCAATCATAGACTCAGGGATAATAACTTCACTTGCCTAGGTCTCAGTGTTCTCTTCTGTAAAATGAGGGACATATGTGGTCAGTGTTTATCCAAGTGTGCTACCCATGCCACTGGCAGTGCATGAAATGACTTTAGAAGGTATGGGGTCGGGCTCGGTGGCTCAGCCTGTAATCCCAACACTTTGAGAGGCCGAGGTGAGTGGATTGCCTGAGCCCACAGGTCCGAGACCTGCCTGGGCAACTTGGTGAGACCTCATCTCTACAATAAACCAAAAATTATCCAGGTGTGGTAGCGCACACCTGTAGTTCCAGCTACTTGGAAGGCTGAGGTGGAAGGATCACCAGAGCCCAACAGGTCGAGGCTGCGGTGGTCGGGAGCGGCCACTGTACTCCAGTCTAGGTGACAGAGTGAGACTCCAACTCAAAAAAAAAAAAAAAAGAAGGTATGGGTGATGGCTTTAAGTTATGAATTTATTTTGCTAGCCTATTAAATCTGTAATGATTCTGAACATTACTGTTTAGAAGTAAAGTGGGTATTTAGGTTTTGAGGTTTTTTTTAAGTCATGGACTGGATAAAGAAAATGTGAAACATTCACACAATGGAGTATTACACAGCCATAAAGAAGAACGAAATCATGGACTTCACAGCAAATTGGATGGTGTTGGAGACCATCATACTAAGTGAACTATCACAGAAACAAAGAAGTGAATAATGCATGCTCTCACTCATAAGTGAGCCCTGAACATTAATCACATTAGCCTAAGGGAGGGATCAGCAGTTGCTGGACTCTGCTAGGGGAGGGAGAAAAGCAGAAGGGTAGGGGGCACGTAACAACACAAAGGGTACCTGGTCCTATCCCAGGGGGAGTGAGGGCCGGATAGAAGCCC